AAGTTTTAAGACGTCCGAAGTCCTATTAGTTTGAAATCTCCTTTTATTGGTTTGTTTTCCCTTTATACAGTTGACACACAGATCATAATCTGTGAAGTCAAAAGGGTCGACAATCTCGTCAGACACAAGTCTTTCAATTCTTCTTTTGAAGATGTGACCTAATCTCTTATGCCACAACAAGGCAGAATTCTCACCAATTAATTTTCGCTTTACACCTCGAGTACTTACATGCAAGGATTCATTAAAAGAAGTAATTATATTAATTGAATAAAGATTATCGTAACCTGATAAAGAACTGGAACCAACCAATTTTGAATCATGAAACAAACTAAAATTTTCATTTCCAAATAAACGAGAATAACCAAATTTGTCCAAAATAGAAATAGAAATCAAATTTCGTCTAAAAGACAGTACAATAAATGTCTCAACAAGATTCAAATAAAATTCAGTCTTTAACAATAATCTAAATTTTCCTATTGCCTCTACTTCCACCTTCTTGCTGTCGCTAGCATAGATGTATCTTTCACCATCACTTGATTTTCGGCAACCTTGCATAGAAATACTGATATAAGTTGCTGCACCAGAATCTATCCACCATGTATGTCTAGGTGCCGAAATTAGATTAATATTAGAACAAACCAAATGAAGAAGAATACCTATCTTTACACGCCATGCGTGGTAATTGGTGCAATTCTTTTTCTTATGACCTGCAGCTACATAGAAGAAATAACCACCTTCAGTTGGTTCCTTATGCTGTTTCTTTTGCGGTGCTACAGCCGCAGCTTCCTTATTAATCTTCCTTTTCTTTTTCCTTTTGTCCTCAGAGGTGGTGGTTAAATGAGCACTTTCTGTCTTCTCATGCTTCAATCTTTCCTCTTTCTGGACACGATGCGAGATGAGCTCATTAAGGGACTATGAGTCCTTTTGACATTTGTAGCTCACCTTGAACTTACTGAAATGTGTCGGAATGGATATCAGAACCAAGTGCACCAACAAGTCTTCAGATAAATTCAACTTGAGTGCCTTTAGCTTTGAAGCAATGTGAGATATTTCCATAATGTACTCCCGAATGTTTCATTTTCCTTTATACCTCATTGAGACAAGATTTGCCAAACATGTACTTGTTTCAATCTTTTCATTCTTGGCAAACTTTTTTCTCAAGATTCTCAAGAAAGCCCTTAGCCGTAGTCACCTTATCGGATATAGTGCCCCGGAATGCTTCTAGAATAACACGCTTCATGATCGTTAAGGTTATGCAGTTTGATCGTTCCCATTTTTCTATCTCCCTCTTGTCATCAAAGGTACTCTTATCAGTAAGTGCAGCAGGTTATCAATCCGTAAAGCAAGATCTAGGTCCATGTCTCCGAGAACAATCATCACGTTTTCTTACCATGCCCTGAAATTTGTGCCATTAAGCATTGGAATTGAATTGATGCTAGCAGGGATATTAGCAGCAAAACCTGAAACTGAATTAGAGAACGATTATTATGAATAGCTCACATGAATATCTTTAATATATAAATAATAATAATCTCAAATAGTGGTAGTGTCCATGACAAGATACCCAGTATAACATCAATATCTAGTCTTTGGATAGAAATATTGACTTGTAAACGGTACTTTTGGCGTAGTGATTAAACATTGACAATAAAACAACGTGTCAATCAATAAACTTTTCTTTGGACCGATTTATTGATCGCACATTAAACCAAATAATTGTCACATGTTTATCACCACAGGTGCACGTGTATTCGACTAAATATTGACATTCCTTTGGGCCGACCAATATTTCCATAAATAGCATATGCACAAACACCTTTTAATATTCTAAATTAGTTAATTTCCATAAAAGAGGTTACTTTGGCAACATGTTGCTTCAATTGACCAACTTTTGAATATTATATCTCTTAAAAAGAGTCCTTAGTACCAAATTTTAAGAAAGAGAATCACCAATTTTGCATATTATATTTAATTTTAAACTTTAGGGGCCTTAGGATTAATAATTCAAAACTTCAAGGGGCAAAATTAATTAATTTCAAACTTTAGGGGTTGGAATTAATAAATTTGAAACTTTAGGGATTAAAATTAATTAATTCAAAACTTTAGAGGATCAATTAGAACAAATTTAAAACTTTAGGAGCCAAAAAATGACCAATTCAAAATTTTAGGGATCAAATTTTGAAAATTTGAAACTTATGGGTCAATTTGAATTAATTATAAACTTTGGGGGCCAATTTGAATTAATAATTAAAGTTTGAGGACTTTAATTATAAAATTCAGAACTGTAATGACCCGAACTAATTAATTTTTAAACCCTAAGAACTGAATTATTAAATTCAACACTTAAAGGCCCAAACTTGTATATAACTTAAATGTTAAGACTGAAACCTTAATTTTATAACCCTAACCCTAATTGTAAACAGGGGCCTCAAGTTATCCAATTTACACGTGAGGCCCCCACCCCCAAAATTCACATAAACTGAAAACCTAAAAAAAAAAAAATTCTTTGCAAGCGACGGGTCTGCCACCGGCTAGATCTCGTTCAACATTTTTTTTAAAATCCCCAAAAGAATCTGAATCCAGAACCCAAAAAAAAAAAAAAAAACCACAATTTGAATTCTTCTCAATTATTAATCTGAATTATGAAAATAACGAAAAATTATATGGCAAAAGTTTTCAAATTCAACAAAATATAGATAGTAAATCATCAAATCTGAAAACTCCAAAATATTGCAAGAACCAATATCCCAAAAAAAATTGATTCTCAATTATTTAACATGAAAAGGTTATGATACCACTTGTAAGATAATTTATTACTTTAAATCAGCGGATCTTTCAGGTTAAATCATCAAGAAATACATAAATTATAGAGGAAGCGTACTTGAATCAAACATAGTTAATGCAATACTTGAATCTTGCGATTTAGTTTTCCAAATCTACACGTAGTCTCCTTTTCTCTTTATGATGGGATGCAGAAGAGAATGAACAATACATTATTTTCTCTACGTGTGATTCGGGGACCATAACCGTATTTATATAGCGATGCCTTTTGACCTAATTCATCCCATCATCGGACATATGTAAATCCACACTTTAATTGGATGCATAACGGTCCAAAATCGAAACCTTATTAGATCACTTTAATTGGGCTCAATCGAATTCGATAACCTTTAATTTAACACGCAATTATTCACACATATAAGTCCATCGATGGATTAAAAATCCTTAGACATTTTGCTATGCAATAAAAAAGCTCAAGACAATGAAATATAGGAGTTCACTTATTTGTTCCAAATGAAGGCTTTACATAGCGTATGAGAAAACCAACATTCACGGAGTATTAGGTGATAAAACTAAGTACATGGACATTTGTGAACTTTCTCAGCGAACATACATAAATTTGGAAACATGAAAGATACTTGAAGACTTCATCAAATTTTTAAAAATAAACGCACATATAAGTGGAAAGAAAATGATTCATGGCATGAACTTCGAGACTTAAAATTCATTCACGAATAGGGAATTTCACTTTTTAATATGAATTATATAAATTTATATTTCCAACATTTTGAACTTGTGATTACCATGTTTGACAGCTTAAATGGCACCTCAAATCGGAATCATAATATATATATTTCACATTGACACAAGCATTTAGTTTCTTCAGTTTCTTTTCCTTGTGTCTTTTAGTTGATAGGTTGCCTATGGCTATGATTTTGCTTTTACACTTAGAACATTGATGGGGATGACAAACTTAAGATTTTTTATGCTCGAGATATGGTGACTGGGGAGACTAACGGTGGAATTGGGTTTAAACTTGTAACTGTACAGTGGAAGCCTTTTGCGGTGCACTTGTTAGCTGATTTCTTGTTTTTTCATATTCCTCAGGGTTCTCAGAGAGCAGAGAATTTGAGGATTACGAAGGAGTTAAAGGATGAAATGGACGTGCTTATTGAATGTTGAGATGTCTACAAGTCATTTTCGGAGAAAAGCACATTTTAAGAGGTGTGAGCTTCAGGGTGAACTTCCATAATAATTTTTATAAGTTTTCTGCATGGGTTCAACTCCATGGTGGAATCTCTTATCGGCATTAATTGAGGTTGATTCAACAATTGGCTTAATAAAAAATATCTTTTGCTTCATGATTTGCTTGGGTCAATTATATTTTATTTTCGTATTCTTTTTGGGCCTAGGATGGATGTAAATGATTTGATTGCCCAACAGTCTTGCAGCCAAACCAGCTTCGTCAGGATTAAGGCTGCTTGTTGTTGCATATTATCTTCCTTTTCTTTTCATCTTTTTGTGTATTTGGCTTATTTTTTCATAATTCAGAATCCTTCTTGTTTGATATGACTAATTATTTCTTATGCCTTGGTTGAAGACAACTTCAACAACAATTTGATCTAGTTTTCAGGGCAGAAATATAGAGCTTGTTTGGGAGTAATTTTGACAATTGATTTTTTGACCATTAGGAGAAAAATGGGGTCCACCTGTGAGAGAATAAGTCAAATATGACGGTTGAAATAGTGAAATAATGGTCAAAAAATCAATTTTTTGGGTGAAAAAATCGCTTCCAAACAGACCCATAGTTTGTTTTCTATGAACGTGTATTATGTCGAATAATATTTGATATGGATGGTTCTGAATTCCTGTGGGTTATAGATGCACGTGTATCCTCATGTTTGGTTTTATCATAGGATCATATCATGTCAGATATTGTTATAGCCCCTATTTGTTTCCCATTCTTTTCTCATTAAAATGAAAAATAAGACCGTTATCCATCACATCAAGCCACCAAATTTGAATTTCTATCTTTTGTGTGTAGTTCATAACGACTATATTTTTCATTCTCATTTTTACAAAAATGGAAAACAAACGCCCTCATAGTTGTATTATTTTTGCACTTTTTGAGTTTCATGTAGAGTTGAACTTTATTTCCTTTCAATTTCATTCTCTTAAGAATGTTCGTCTACTTAAACTTATATCAAATAGTTTTCTTCCATGAATTTAAATCAAAATATTTTTACCCATTTGCAGATTAAACATGGAGAGGCTGGTGGAATAATTGGTCCGTCGGGACCGGTAAATCAACTATATCCAGACAAGGTAATTCTTCTCACATTTTTATTCTATGATCTTGGCACTATATTGTACCTCGGAAAGAGCCTGGGTTTCTGACCCTCGGGATCTTTTATGAACCATGCTTGACGATCAGGGTGAGGTTTTTGTTCGAGGTAGAAAGCGCCATGGTTTGATCAGTGAAGAGGAAATATCTGGACTTCGAATTGGCTTGGTAAGATATATACATTATTATACATCTTTTGTACTGGGAATAAGGCTCAGTTAATTGATTTTCTTAACTATCATATTAACACGATTCTTTCAATTCATTTCCTCTATACAGGTGTTTCAGAATGCAGCACTTTTTGATTCTTTAACTGTTCGTGAAAACGTTGGTTTCTTATTGTAAGATACTATGCAGAAATTGTTGCTGCATTTTTTTCCTTTATTCTTATTGACACAAGAATTTCTGGCTTCCTTTGCTTCTTGATATGACCAACACGAAAATTCGGCTATGGCTGAGGAACAAATTGCAGAGCTTGTGACTGAAACTCTAGCTGCTGTTGGTTTGAAGGTGTAAAAATGCTTATTATTTGCCTGGATAAAATTTTGTTGAACGCTCTAAAATGTTGAGATGATGAGAAAGTATTACTAACAAAAAATGATGGAACATTTGGGAGCACAAGAATTTTATTTTTTAAAATATGCGCTCAGATACAAATTGGAACTATAATGCAATATCCCGAATTTTATTACTAGTCGTTAAATTAAAAATTAAGATGTAAGTGTGCTATTATTAAAGTCTAATTAGCCTAGTTAAATGACCTTAATAATTACTAACCAAAGTTTGAGGACCTAAGTGAAGAGATAATTTGGAGGTTAAATGAAATTATATGAATATGTCAATTAGCCATGATTATAGATGATTTATTTGTCCACATGCATTATTCACCACATTTTAAGCAAAGTAATTGCTTTGACTACATAAATAAAGGTAATTGATTTGACCACATGCATCATTTACACCAAAATTCAAGTTAAGTCAATTGATTTAATCACATGATTAAAGGTATTGATTTGATAACTTTCAAAACAATGCACTAATTATGCTTTGACAATGTCTAATATTTAGCCATTTTCTTTCAACTTTCTACACATGGTCCAAGAACTCACACTATAAATAGGAGTTAAACTCAACATCGAATTATCCCTCACTAACTATTTACACTCTTACTCTCTGTCTTTATCACTTTGTCTCTACACCTTTACTCTTTCTCTTATATTTTTCATATTAAATAAAGTCATACACTTACAAAATCACACAACCCGACACGCGGCTCAAGGAACTCCCTCCAACAATCACTTTTATCATTTTTGAATTGTTAAGTGAAAGGTAAGCATAGTAGTACGAATTGCTCTTTCATCATTTAATTTACGAAAATTTATGTTATGAATATGATGATACGGAAAATCCAAATTATGATTATGATAAGAGTCCTATATGTGTAAGTTCAAAGGATCGGAGTTTAGTAGCGCTACAGGAGTTATAGCCACGAAGTTTGGATTTTAGTTCTCGTGTTTCTATATGTATGTTATGATTTTTCGTAATTAAATATGAGATGCAAATTCGTTATTACTCATTTATTAAGATTTATGTCTCACGTGTATATGTTAAATATTTTATAGGTAACTAAAAGAGGCGGGTTCGACGCTATTGGAGGTTGATTGTGCTTGCGTGGTTGAAAATGAAGAATAATTTAAGTCGTTAAAGATTTTAATTTTGTTTATTGTATTTTTATTTTTTTTTAATCCCTTCATGTTTAGAAAATATTACGTTTTTTTAATTATTTATGAAAGTATTAGCGGTACATGTATAAAGGTAAAAATTTGGGTCGAATTAATTTGGCTGATTTCCTAGAAAATTGATTAGTTGTCAAGTCGATGCCACAGAGTTAAGAATTAATTGATTAATTTTATAGAACTTCTAGAGATTAATTCTTCAAATTATCATAGTCAGTCCAGATATTGAGCCCAACGGTTGGGCAACCAAATATGCAACTAGTAATTTTATTGAGGAGTCGCCAGATAGATAATTTACTGTGTCAATCACATAAATAGTGAATGAAGACACGTAGGTATTGAAAATCTCCCTTGATATTTATGATTTAGCAGTTCTTGAGTGGTCAGTGGGCAAATGCTAACTGTTAGTTTGATAGGTATAGTTGTAGCACGAAGAGAAAATGCAAGACTCGATCTTCACTAAATCAGTAACATGTAGGTATTGAAAATCTCCCTTTGATTTTATGCCCTGCTTCTAGTATATGATGAGATAATATTAGTTTAAGCAGTTAAAACATTGTGGAAAGATCTATTTGAATATGGTATAGTGTGGTGTGGTTGAAACAATTTTTTTGCTGTTAGTGACTATTTATAGGCTTTGTGGAATGAAATGATTTGAAGGTGCTATTAAGTTTTGAAATTGGTTGGATAAATCACCAAAATCTAAGATAAGCTCAATGTGCTAACGTAGTAAAATTTGAGAGAAGGTCAAAAGTAAAAATAGAAAATTCAGTGAAGTCAATGAAAGGTTTCATTCATTCATTGCTTGTGTACTTGTTTATTTCTCTTCGTGTCTTTGTCGCCATAATAAATCAAATCAATATTTTTTTTGTAGGATGTTGAAGAACAATTGCCTTCTGAGTTTCCAGGGGAATGAAAAAAACAGTTGCTTTAGCTCGTTCTATAATATTTGATACCACAAAAGATGCAATAGAGCCTGAGTGTATGTTGGTGTTTCTTGTTTTTCCTGCAGTTTTCTGTGGCAACCCCTAGTCAAGCCACCCTCTTTCACCCCGCGATAATTGAGGAAAAGGGATACGGATTAGATCAAACAAAGGGGGAAATAGGGGTATGTAATTGATAGTGATTTCTCTTTTTTAGTGATTTCCCCTTTATGTTTTTACTTACGAAGGTCTGTTAATTTTGAGTTTCTCGAGTAATGTTTCACTGAACCGATATTATCTTAAATACTGTGTTTGCTTTAAATTACTTGTCTGATTAATCAATAAAGCTATTTTATACTTGAAAAAGACTGTTCAATTATTCTTGTTGAAGCAACTACTCGGCCAACAAATACACCAAAACTTTGATTTGATCTTAGTTAGGTGCTTGGGTTTACTGGTGAAAAATCCTCATGTGAACATTGCCTCGGAAATTTCCCATGTTGGGAAAATACAGCTGTCTTGACTTGAGTAGATATACTTCTGTTTGTTTCTTCTGCTCTAATGTTTATGACTGGATTATGTGAAATGATTTGACTTTGACACGCAGAAGAATTATATTACCATATTCTGCAATGTTGAAGATATTAACCGTGTGCAGTCATTCTCCTTTCTGACAATAGTTCCATGCACTATTGAGCAGGTGCTCCTCTATGATGAGCCAACAGCGGGTCTTGATCCTATTGCGTCTACCATAGTTGAAGATCTCATCCGTTCTGTTCATATGAAAGGTGAGGATGCATTTGGGAAACCTTGAAGATTGCATCTTAAGTTGTTTTCACTCATCAACATGGTACCATCAGAAGAGCTGTAGACAGGTATTGATTGGTTCAATCCACAACATTAGAGTACCTTGTTCTAAAAAAGTTCAGCCTTTGTCATCTGGGAATACAAGAATTCGTCTCATCTAGTTTAATACGACACTTAGGCTGTTATTTCTATATGAAGGAAAGGTTGTTTGGCAAGGAACGACCCATGAATTTTCCTCATCCGCGAATCCAATTGTTCAGCAGGTAAAAATCTTGAGGTTTCTAGTATCATATTCGTTTTTCAGACCCATAAGCTATAAATTTAAGGGAACTTTGAAAAATATCAGTTTGCATCTGGAAGTTTGAACAGGCCCATCAGATATTAGCTCAGACAAGTTTGGTGAAGTTGTGAAATTCATGGTTGAGATTCATGGATGAACTTATTGTGATTCTTGGAGGCAGAAGAGTTGTCATTTCAAGTTAATTATCGTACATTTCAAACGGCGAAATTTCCATGTGTATTTCGACTAGTCTCAGAGTGGAGCAGTAGGGTTTCAAGGACAGTGGAGCCTTCCCCCAACAAATATCAGATCTGGCTAAACCGTATGATCACTGTAATATGGTCTCTATTGTACAGCATTATACAGCTTGAGCATATATGTTTTATATTTTTAGTTGGAAATTGAATAGCACTTGGAGATGTTAATAATTACGTTGGAGTTTTTACAGCAGTAAAAAGTTCAAAACAAAATATGATAATTAGCACATTCCTAGATAAATTACCAAGGGCCCCATAAAACCAATAACAGCATTTCCAACCTTAGGTTTGATTGAGAATATCGTGTCCCAAAGAAGAAATGTTGATTATTTACTGTGTGACAAAGTCTTTCTCCCCGTTTTCTACTACCCTTGGCAGGACAGTTCATTAAAACTCTCTCAAGTTGTGCCATCCCTACTAAAGCTTTTATCCTTCATTCGGGGCTTCATCTGGCCTAAGAAAATCTTTGCACACCTCTGTTGTCTTTTGGGAGGCATACGCACATAGAACTGTTTACATTAGATTGTCCCTTAGGCCACAAGTCCTCACACAATATTACAGAATTCTAGCTCTTCTAAAGTGGTATCAGATGACTCAGCCCTCAGGGGGGCCTTCTTCAACAATCGCACTTTTAAGTTTATAGCAACAGTAATGGAAATGTCCCTCTTAACTGCTCTCCTACAGTTATTTTATGATTGTTTGTCTTGAGGTTCTTGTTTGTAAGTCATTTGTTTATCATGAACGACTAAGTTCTAATCTAATGAATAACCAAGGGGACATGAATAGCACAGGTTAAGCACAGGACATGGAGGCCGAGGCCGAGGCCAAGCCAGCTTTGAAGCATATATAGGATTGATGCATGTTAGTTCAACAAGATAGGGAAAGAAACTAAGAATCTATCATTCACTTAACATAAAAAAGACATCAAGTTTTTGTCTGCAAAATGTAGTTTCTCGTTTGAGAACAACAAAAGAGAGCAACAATTCCTACATAGAAACTAACTAAACTACTTACACAGAAAACCCAAACTAAAATCGGTCCATCCTCCATATCTTGTGCGAACCTCTTTCCAGCTGCGACTACCGGAACACTTTGTCTCCTACAGCCATCACCAGATAACTCCACACACAACTCTGGGTTTCCAGCAAATGCTCCAGGAAATCTCCCGTATCCTTGCCTTGTAGGCACAACCCCAGAGAGCGAATTGTACGACAAATTTAAGGTTGTTAAATTCACGAGATTAGATATATTTCCTGGGATCTGACCTGACAATGAATTGTGAGACAAATCCAGTGCCTTCAAACTCCTCATCTTCCCCAAACTCACTGGCATTTGACCATCAAGAAAATTATAAGACAAGTTCAGGTATTCAAGGCCTTGCAGTGTGAATATTCCGGATGGGATTTCACCGCGCAGTAAATTATCAGACAGATCGATTCCATTTGCTGTCGTAAGAATGTATTTGAAGATCAATTCGGTTTTATCGGGAACAATGACAGAAACTTCTAAAACTGAAAGCTCTCCGAAAGTTGCTCTGCTGATGTCAATATTATTGAAAATCAAACTAGTGTTGAAGTTAACATCTGGTATGTAGCCAGAGAACTTGTTGCTTGAGAGTTCCAATGTTCGGATTGCTTGAAAGGTGAATAACCAACCAGGCAGAGCTCCATTGAAATTGTTACGAGCAAGGGAGAGAAACTTGAGATTCGACCATTTTGATATTGCATCATTTAACGACCCCGAGAGATTGTTAGAGCTCAAATCCACAACCTCTAATGACTTGCATCCTGCTAAGGTAAGAGGGATCTCCCCAGATATCTGGTTCTCGCTTAGATCAAGTATTTTCAAACTATCCAATGCATCAAGCTCTGGTTGAATTTCACCCGAAAGATTGTTGTTCTTTAGCATTAACGCGAGTAACTGAAAACAGCCAACAATGTTCAAAGGGATCGAGCCTGATAATAAGTTGTGTGACAAATCAATCACTTGAAGATATGTCAGATTTCCAATTCTCTCTGGTATTTCACCTGTAAGAAGATTGTGCGAAAGAAACAACGCCTGCAAACTTTTCAATTCCGTTAACGATGCTGGTATATCTCCAGTGAACTGGTTGTTCGATAAATCAAGAAGTAAAATTCCTGACCTCTCCGCTTTCTCAATAATACCACTGGGAAGATTTCCCGACAATTCATTAGAACTCAAGTCCAAAACAATCAACTTCTCTGACAAAACTAATCTTGGGGAAATCCTATATCTCACTGCATTGTGGGACAAATTTAAGCGTGTCAACCCACGAAGACCAGAAATACAAGCCGGGATTCCTCCCACAATTGAGTTATTCGCTAAATTAAGCACCGACATTGATTCAGCTGATGACAAGAAACAAGGCAAAGTGCCAGATAACCAATTCGATTCAAGATTGAGATACACCAAAGCTTGGCGAAATTCAACAAGAGTTCCCATCAGATAATTGTGAGACAAATCCAAATACTTCAAAGACATTAAGTATAACAAGCTTTTAGGCACCTCTCCATTAAAACTATTGAATCCCAAATCAAGTTTCTCCAATTGGGTGGAGAAATTGCCAAACCAAACTGGAATGGTACCACTTAACATGTTATGGCTAAGATCAAGCTGAGTTAATTGGTTGAGCGTGACAAGTGTATTAGGTACAACACCAGTAAGCATGTTGTGGCTAAGATCAAGAATCCTAAGGTTCCTAAACAACTGAAAACATAAAGGGATTGAACCATAAAAGCTGTTGTAAGATAAAACAAGGGTTTCAAGAAACGAGAGGTTGCACAAAGAGGGGTGGAGTGTGCCCGACAAGTTGAGGGCAGTAATGTTGAGTGCAGTAACCCGGCCGGTCCGGTTTGAGGCAGTGAACCCGGTCCAGGTGGTGCTGCCATTAACAGCAAAATCCCAGCTTGACAAACTATTAGAAGGGTCATGAATGTGAGACTTAAAGAGCAAAAGGGAAGCTGTATCTTGTGGGTCGACACCAAATGCAGAAGGTGGGCTTAACAAGCAAAGTAGCAAGAACAGAACTAAATTACAGCTTAGTTTATGGGTTTTAATAATTCCAAAAGCCAAGTTTGTAATTTCTTTCATGGATAAACTAAAAATGATTGAAGATAAGATGGGGTATGAGGTGTTAGTGCTGTTATTTAGGTATATATTGAAGAATGAATGAGTAATTAATGAATACCTGAAACAAATAGCTCGGCTCAGTTTCCTTCAGAATACATCAATGAATGGTCATAAGTGGGACTGAGGAATGAGGAACCAACATTCTCTCTTGTTTCTTGAATTGTTTTTGTTCTGGTTTTTGTGAGAGTAGCACACTGAACTAAGAGAGAAAGATACTGAGGAATATAATATTAGTGGGCACAAAACAATGGAGGTCACCTAACTTTTAAGTAGATTTCAATTTAGTGTCTCATATATTATTATTATTATTTTTATTACTTTTATTTTGGTTTTTCAAACTCATCATTGAAGTTTTAATTTTATTTCAATTTATTCACTGACGACGATTTCTTCACAAAAATCAGTGTTCTTAAGTGAACAATGACAATGTTAATAGACTTCGTCGATTGACTAATAGCATAATAGTCAAATTTTCGAACTTTTAGAAATTGCACGAAAATTCACATTTCAATAGTTCAATGTGTTAAAACACAAGCTTGTACCACCATGCATACTAATGTCAATAGAAAAATATATAAAAAATAATTAAAAAATAAAAAATTAACGGTTACAGAAAATAACATTAGTTACTCTTTAACATATTTATTGAGCATTAGAAATTTAAAATGTGTGTGTGTGCACGCGCACACCTAACTTATATCACGAAGTATTCGAGAAGTGTCAATTTTAACATAACATTATACGTGTTAGATACAGACACGCCGCCCAACTAACTAAAATGAAAATTCCCTCATAGTGGGATGACTTTTACCCTAATATAGTTTAAGAATAGCAATTAAGCATAATCTAGGGAACCGTGTAATAAAGTGATTACCTTTATATTATTTCATTTGAACGCCTTTATGCTTTTTCAGATTCTGTGTCACGTGACGTCCCTCTCCCAATCCTATCTTCCACATTTTTAAATGACATTTCAAAACTGAGTTCATTTTTGTTTATAAATTTAAATTAGGAGATTTTTATAAATGACCTACTACTATTCATTTTTGGTAAAATGTCTATAATATCCTTAATGAAGGAATTTGTCATATTTTGCACAAGATATCCTTAATTTATTGGGATAGTTCTAAATTCCTCTATTTCTCTCATTTCGAGTTTTAATATATAATTCCATCATTTGATCTAATAAATTAGCATAATCTGTAATATAATTGTCATGTAATTTACTAAGATTATCATATTCCTCAGATGAAATATCCATAATCTCTAGTTGAGCAAAAATATTTCTTATTTTTTTCAATAATTTTTCTAACAGATTATCTAATCCTTTAATTGTATAACTTGGCATTGTTCAGATAATTCTTTGCAAGCTTTATGAATAATAATAACAACATGTTATATAAGTTTTTTGCAAATATGAAAAGTAATAATCCCTACGATTCTTTCAAGATATTAGAAGAATTCTTTCTAAATTTAACAAAGACAATAATTTTACCTTACTTTTGATCTTAAATCTGTATTCTTAGAACCGAGTGACCTTCAGGCTCTGAATCTGCAAACTGCTCCCTCAAACGACATCTTGCCTCAATGGGAATTCTGTTATTTCAACTTCTTGCCTTCACTGTATCTTTTCTTAGAATTAAGAATAAAGATTTTAAGTAAAGAAAATTCTCTCTTTGTTAAAGTAAGAAAGAAATTATCTTCTTCAATCTATCAAGAATCTATGGGGTAGGAGGTTTAGAAACTCATAGTTTTCTGATATCAAAAGATTGAAATTTTATTTTTATAATGATTTATACAAGGTTTCTATTGTATACAAGGGGTTTCCAGAAAAACTGATTTTGAAAAAAGTTTAAGGAAAGAGAATGGTTTCTAACTCGAGATGCCCCATTCTTTCCTCAAAGACCTCTATTTATACATGACTCAACCTTACTATTATTGATTTATTACATC